CAGGTGCTTCGCCGGGGATGGGCCAAAATCCGCAGATCAACGTTCGGACTGCGTGTGACGGTTTCTTTGGTCGTTTGAAGGCCATAATTCGTGCCAAAGGTGATCAATTCGAAGAAATTTAAACTTATTCTAAAATTTGATGCTATTTCCGACATTTTTTGCTTTCATTCAATAATTTTTTTTTAAAAAAAGTAAAAATTATGGCATTTGAATTTGTTGCAGTTTTTTTAGCTCACACTGTATTTTATCAACTGATTTCGGATTAAGTGTGCACCAAATGGCCAATATCAGTTCAAATGTCCTGTATTTTGAATGTCCTCCACAAGAATTATAATTTGAATGTCCTCCACAAGAATTATATTTGATACCACATAACTTATGGAGAACAGAATTACCTCTGCAAAATTATTTATTGAGATCGGATAAGATTTGGATATAGCTGCCATGTATATATTTATCCGATTCCAGGTTTTTTGTGCACCCAATGGCTAATATCAGCACAAATTAACTGAATTTCGGTACATTCGACCGAAATCAGTCTAGAAATAAGTGCTTCAAATTTGGTGAAAATCGGTTCACATATAGCTATAGCTCTCATATATATGCTGTATCCGATTTGTGGTTTTAAGTTCCTCACATGCGTAATATGCGCTCCACAACAATAATCTATGGTACTAGATATCAGATACAGCTGAAAAATAAGTGTTTACAATATTGTCAAGATCGGTTCAGATTTGGATATAGCTCCTAAATATATCTTTATCAAAGTTTAGGTTTTTTTGTGTACCAAATGGCTAATATCAGACCAAATGAACTGAATCTTACCAATTCCGACTGATTTCAGTCTAGAAGTAAAGACATTAGATTTGGAAAAAATCGGTTCAGATATAGCTATATATATAGATATAGCCAAAGATTGTTGTTGTGAAGTGCATAATACGCATGTGAGGGACCTAAAACCACAAATCGGATGAAACATATATGTGGGAGCTATAGCTATATCGGATCCGAATTTCACCAAATTTGATGTACTTGCTTCTAGACTGAATAAGGTCGGATGTGCCGAAATTCAGGTCATTTGGACTGATATTGGACAATCGGTGCACAATTAACCCGAAAATGGTTGAAAATGTATATGGGAGCTATATCTAGATTTGAACCGATTCTCAGCCTAATTTGCGATTTTTACATGTTAAAGTAGATTTTGACTTTATACATCTAAATACACAAAGTTAGGTGAACAGAGTACCAGCTCTTTGAAGGAGAGATCTTATTTTTATAAAACTCTACCCTGCGACATGACTACGCCAGGATATTTCCTCATAAGTTACGTTCATACTTACAAACAGTCTGGATTATGACCACAATAGAACAGCGATTGTCTTCGAAAATCCAAATTTGGATCTTTAACTTGCATTTGCACAAACGAACACTCGGGATCACCGTTACGCACGCAATCATTGAAATTCTTTTTATACCATTCGGCCGGTTTCACTTCTCTTTGGGGGAATTTTTGAAAGAACACTGCATTGCGATACGATGATCGGATATAATAATACCAGGATATAACTCTTTCCACCGGGTCTCTAACCATATTCACATAGATGGGCTTGGGTAAATCGAATGCCGCAAAATCAATCCAATTAACATGGGAAACATAAACTGAACCATCTTCTAAATCGGTTATGCGTTCGGCAATCTCTCGCTGTTGAGGCTGGGGCATATTCATGAGAACCATTTGACGCATACCGCGTTTATCTACATACAGGTTATTGAAATCTTCAAGGAGTAGAAATAATTCGAACATAGCCTCGCTGCCAACTTTAGTGCCCCGATTGAAAAATATAACTTCAATGTCTGCCTTTGAGGTGTTATTCAGGTAGGCCGCTGAGAGTTTCGAGAGCTAAGTGGGGGAGATATAGATAGTGTTTTTAATATCTGACCTCAATTTCGATTAGTAATACAGAGCCCCCCAAGCAAAGCTATAGAACGGACCGAGGCAGCGAGAAATCGGAGAAGGATGTTGTATAGATTAAAATAAGCGAATTTTATTGCACAGATATTTTATACATATAGCATATACATATGCATGTATACATTAGAGGCAAAGTAGGAAAGATTGGCAGATTGGTTCGCGAAATATTTTTAAAAAATGTCAATCAAATAAAGGTAAATTTGTAAAATTTGCTAAAAATTGGCACACAGGTGTAAATATATATTTCTAAAATTCCACAAGAAATGAGGTAGACCATAGGAATCACCTGTAGTAGAATTCTCTAACTTATTTTTTGAGCTACCGACAAAATTCGGTAAAACGAAAATGCTTAGAATTTCGGTACTAAACGAAAATTGTCGGTAAGTTTATTTTAAAAATTTTGGGTTTTAAAGTTACCGATTTTTGTCGGTAACTCAAAAATGCGTTAGAGAATCGCACTACTGAATATACGTTTATTCTAAGGCAATGTCAATATGCATGCACAGTTTTTGTATGTGTATGTATTTGGTTTGTTCCAGAATTGCAAGAACAATTTTGAAAAATTTCGAATTCTGTTGAAAATTAAATTTATTCTTACAGCCATGGGAGAATTAAGAACGTAAGGTCATGCAATCATATGTTTGCAATTTGTTCAAAAATATATATATATACATAAACTGAAACCATCTTCAGACTGCTGTCATTTTTATGCACCTCGTCCGACAGCTGTTAAAATTATTCCAGTGACAGATCATTATATTGTTTACAATCGTACAAAAGAATTTTGGTGAGAATTTTCCAGTTTCCGAAAGTAAACTGCAAAATCAACAGAAATGGTTCGAAAAGTAAAGAAGCGACTTCATCGAAACCTGCATCGCAGTGGCTCTTGAGCTGTACATATTGCAATATTCCATTCGTCAAATATTGAAAAATGAGCTCGGGGTAAAGCCTTTGAAATTCCAAAAAGTGCAAGAACTTACACCGCAACAGAAAGAAAATAGACTCAAAAGAGCTAAAGAATTGCTTCGCTTAGCCGAAATTGGTGAACTGCCGAATTTGGTTTTCTCCGTCTCCGATGACAAAACATTCGTTGTCCAGCAGTTTGTAAACGAACAAAATGATCGTGTTTACTTGCCAAAGAGGTCAGCTGAAAATCTGCACCTTCGGTTGGCCATCAGAACTCAAGCGCCGGCCACGGTGATGGTGTGGGCCGCCATAACAGTCGATGGGCCAAAATATCGCAGAACAACATTCGGGCAGTGTGTGACAGTTTCATTGGCCGTTTGAAGACCATAATTCGTGCCGAAGGTGACCAATTGGAAAAAATCTAAACTTATTCCAAAATTTGATTCTATTTCCGATATTAAAAATTATGGCGTTTGACTTTATTGCAGTTCGTTTTATCTCACCCTGTATAACTTTATATGGTATTAGGTTTATTGTGCACCAAATGGCTAATATCAGTCCAAAAGTCCTGAATTTTGGTACATCCAACCGAATTGAGTTTAGAAGCAAGTACATGAAAAATTGGTTCAGCTATAGCTCCCATATATATGTTTCATCCGATTTGGGGGTTTAAGTCCCTCACATGCGTAATATGCACTCCACAAGATTGATATTTGCTACCAGATAACTTATGGAGCTTACAAATATCTCTGTATAACTCGGAGATTGGTTCAGATTTGGATATAGCTCCTATATATATCTTTATCCGATTTCAGGTCTATTGTGCACAAAATGGCTAATATCTGCATATCAGACTGAATCTTCCGATGGAATTCAGCCTAAAAGCAAGTGCTTAGTTATTCAAATGTATATTATTCCTGCTGGACTTTTGGTAACGAAAATGGGTCATCTAGGTCTACGTTTTGGTATAGCCCCCATATAATGGTACCTCCCGATATTCGGTATTTTGATGATTTTAGCGACCTTATTAACCGGAAATATTTCAAATTTGGTACTTGAAGTTCGTAATGGATATTACAGCCTATGACAGAAAATTGACTTTGCAGGCTCACGTCTTCGTATAGCCCCCATACAACGGTACCTCCCCATATTCGGTATTTTGATGATTTTAGCGACATTATTCATCAGAATTGTTTAAAATTTGGTATTTGACGTTCGTAATGAATACTACAACCTAAGACAGAAAATTGTATGTGCAGGTCCACGTCTTCGTATAGCCCCCATATAGCGGTAGCTGCTGATATTCGGTATTTTAATGATTTTAGCTTCATTACTCAACGGAATTGTTTCAAATTTGGTATTTGAAGTTCCACGTCTTCGTATAGCCCCACCCCCCCCCCCCCCATATAACGGTACCTCCCCATATTTGGTATTTTGATGATTTTAGCGACATTATTCATCAGAATTGTTTCAAATTTCGTATTTGAGCGAACATTCTCTGAGCAGGTCCACCTCTTCGTATATACTCTAATATAACAGCTACATTTAGTATTTTTAAGATTTTAACTGAATTTTTAACGGATTTTATTCTTATTTGAAAATTGCCAAATTCGCTCCAAAGGTTGGAGGGTATTCAAAGTTCGGCCCGGCCGAACTTACAGTTTTTTTACTTGTTTTAATATAATCCTTATCGAAGTCATATCATGCACAATACAGCAATGCTATTTGGTTCATAGTTGGTATGATCTACTTTGGATAAATTTCCAATAAAAACTTCTTTGTTACGTGAGCTCTACTAAATACGCATGGTGGTGTAGGGTATCATATCAGTCGGCCCCGCCCGACTTTTGACCATTAAGGATACTGGTTTCATTTCGTTTCATGGTAGAAATTGAGTAAACGATTCATTTTTAGCGAACGATTCTGATACGATTGCTTGAACGAGATAGTGAACCGTGAACTAGTTCAGTCAAAAAAGCTGAACTAGATTGAAGGTTCAGCGAAAGGAACTAGATTTTATTTATTTATGCGAAATAAACTGTTTGAAATACAAATTAATGAGAGAAGATGATATTTTATTAAATTAATTTTTATAAAAAAGTTTACGATGTACATTATATTTTCAATTCAATCTCAAGAGGGCCTTATTCAAGAATGTCAACTTCCTTTGGTTATCCTTTTCCTCCATCTCACGCAACTCCTTTTGTTTCAAGGCGAAATACTGTTTGTGCAGGCGTTGTCGGCAAAACTGATAGAATTCAATTTCACGCGTGAAATTACGACGCACCATATTCTTAATTTCTTCGCTGATGTGGGGTTTCATGGGATTACTGTTTTTGTGGTCGTTGGCCAAATCCACTGGAGGGAGGAAGGGGAAATATTGTTCTAAGATCAGAGTTGCATTTTCTCTAAATTATAAAACTTACGGTAATACATTTTCGATGCCCCCTTAAAATAACGAGGGATGTAATTTTCCAATACCGTCAACGTAACATTGGTATCCTCCCAGGTGCCTACCACAGCATATTCCTGTTCCACAGTGCGTTTAGCAATTTCCAGGGGTAGACGGGCATTGAAGGGCCTTGAGAATATAAAATGATTTTCAAAAATCCCTGTCTCTTTGTGGTTGTGGGAAGATTTATTCAACTTACATGCACTTGTGCTCATTGTGGCCACAGAAAAACAATGTTTGCCTGCGGTGATCACCGGCTCTCTCGAATCCGGAACCCTCTATATAAGTACAGACCTTGTCCTTACTCAGCACACATTGATCAAATTCGGTATTGGCCCATTTAGGATTTGGCATGGGACGATTACTTTGACGCCGCTTTGGTACAAACACCCATGGCGAACGAACATAATAATACCAGCTAATGACTCTTTCCACGGGATCACGAACCATATTCATATAGATCGGACGATCCACATCATAATCGGTAAAATTCATATAATTCACATGGCTAACAAAGACGGTACCCTCGTCCAAATTATTGATATTATCGATTTGATTTTCAACTTCATCATCTTCGAGTATGCTGCGTATGCCACCCTGTTGCGGATCAACTTCTACCTCAAAGTCATGAAGAGTACCTAATTTTTTCAAAAGAGCTACCATCTGAACACTGCCAGTTTTGGGGACACGATTAAAGAATAACACATCCGTTTGAGCTTTTTTGGTATTATTCAATGCATCGGGATTTAAAGAAAACAGCTGATTGGGGGGGGAGGGAATAAGAGAAATTCGGTTAAACTTAGCTGCTGTATTGTGTGGGAAAAATTAGAGGCAAAACCTCAAATGGAATGGTGGAAACATGCTATCAATTTAAGTTAGTAAGAAATTACTATGAGCAGATTAAGGATTATCAGGAAGCTTGGATATTGGCATAATTGCAATCTGCCGTTTATGGATTTCTTTAAAGGAAACCGAGGGAAAGGAGATATCTAGGAAAAAAAACACCATTCCAAATAGATGCAAAAAAAGAAGGAAATTTTAAAGCATTAAAATGGCAATGCATTAATGAAATACCGAAAAAGTCAAGAAAAATAATTAAGCTTTTGGAACTTGTATAAATAAGTTAGCATATATTGTCAGAAGTGGGAAATTTACACATGATCATTGCCTACCCTAAGGAGCTAATGAAATAATTAGCTGTTTTATTGGTACACCTATGGTAGAAGAATATAAGTAAACGCATCGACGGAGCTGCTGGGACAATGAACTGTCAAACTAATTTTGGAATTAAAAATGTTGAATGAAAAATTATTTAAATTTGTAAAATTTGTTGAAAACGCGTATTTTAATAACCTCCGAATGACGTCGTATACGAAAACATAGAAAAATCTACTTATATTTGAAAACACATTTAAATTTTTTTGACATATCAATGTTCCCAAGCGTTGATGCATCTACCTGCTTTCTTCTACCATGGGTACACCTATCAAATAATCCAATAGATATTTAAGATATGAAACGGCCGGAGCTTCATATCTTGGACATACGAGTGGATAAGTAAAGGCCACGTTACATACCATCAAAAATGTTACAGGTAACAATGGGAGAATCACTTTGTGTCGGACCGGATATCTGAAAAAATTGCAGCTGCCTCATGTGAAACATTAATTCCTACCAGAGACTCGTGGATCGACGGATTCCTACCGCAAATGTCGACTGGAAACTTTTGTTATAAGACTATCCAATCCTTCAAGCGGAGGTCCGGACCTCGCGTCGCAGAAAGTCTGAACTGATTTAATGCTAACACGAAACCGGCTTCCGTAAACATCTTAACGGACCTTACGGTCTAGCTATAAAAGCTATAACATCCAAAACGGTAACTTCAAAAACTGTATTTGAATGTTATACAGCGTGAAATGAAAAACCTACAACCAATTTCAGACTGCTGTAATTTCTAAGCCACTCGTCCGACAGCTGTTAAAATTATTCCAGTGACAGCTCATTATATTGTCCACAAGCCTACAAAAGCATTTTGGTGAGTCTTTTCCAGAAAAAAAGTTATTCGTTATGGAATTCAAGCGTGATAGTGTGATTTCTTTATATTTGGCTGGAAAACCACAAGTGGCTATCGTTAGAATACTCCAGCATTTAAACGTGAATAAATCTTTTGTGTCTCGTACCATCGCTCGTTACCGTGATACTGGTAGCGTAGCCCGACGTCAAGGAAGTGCACGGAAGAAAACAGCAACATCAGCAGAAATGGTTCGAAAAGTAAAGAAGCGGCTTGATCGAATTCCGCGTGGCAGTGCCAGATGAATGGCTTGTGAGCTGAACATATCTCAATATTCCGTTCGGCAAATATTGGAAAATGAGTTCGGGGTAAAGCCATTGAAATTACAAAAAGTATAAGAGCTTACACCGCAACAGAAAGGAAATAGACTCAAAAGAGCTAAAGAGTTGCTTCGCTTGACCGATGAGAAAACATTCGTTGTCCAGCAGTTTGTAAACAAACGATATGGTCGCGTTTTCTTGCCAAAGAGGTCAGCTGAAAATGTGCACCTTCGGTTGGCCACCAGAAGTCATGCGCCGGCCATGGTGATGGTGTGGGCCGCCATAACAGCCGATGATCGCCCTCCGCTCGTATTAATCGACCGTGGCATCAAAATAAATACCGAATATTGCGAAAATGTTCTGGGGGGTGTATTAAAGCCTTGGGCACGCAAACATTTTGGCCGCAGACCTTGGACATTTCAACAGGACTCACCTCAAGCAAGTGCTTCGCCGTCAATGGGCCAAAATACCGCAGATCAACATTCGGGCAGCGTGTGACGGTTTCATTGGCCGTTTGAAGGCCATAATTCATTCCAAAGGTGACCAATCCAAACAAATCTAAACTTATTTTAAAATTTGATGCTATTTCCGACATTTTTTGCTTTCATACAATGACATTTTAAAAAAGGAAAAATTTTGGCGTTTGTTTTTGGTTTATGTGAGTTAGAGGTTACGAGATAGCGAACTCTCTCGCCAAAAAAGGCAGGGAATTAGCAATAATAAACTTAGGCAATCCAGTGCCGCTTTCTGCGTGACGTCTAGTGGTAAAGCCATGGGCAAAAACGCCCACGTAGCCCTATGGAACAATAAAGGCGTAGGGAAAACCACAAAAATTCTTTCGAGTGACTTCAATGAGATAAAAACGGAGAACCTTTTATTACTAGGTAAGAAGGATATTAGGAGGATAACATGCATCCTCACGGGGCATATGGGCCTATCAGCTTTTCTGTACAAGATAGGATGTGCAGATAACGGCATATGCAGGGCATGCGGGGAAGATGACAAATCTTTGGAACATTTTCTCTGCCACTGCCCAGCGTTTGCAAATATCAGATCCCAATTCTTAGGGAACCACTTCATACCAGACCTAAATCGGATCATGGTAAATTATATAAAACAGTTAAGGAATTTCGTTAAGGCAACTTAATTTCAAACATAACTGCTCGTCTTCTGCGAATTGTTTCGCCCCTCTTTTCAACCTAACCTATCATATCATAATGTTTGTAAATACATTTAGCTTGGTACCCACATTTACAAATATTTCGAACCTATGTAGCATAATTTCACTTCCGCACCAATTGGAGCATAATATATAGATTCAATTATAAAGAATAATAATAATACATTTACTATTAAACAGACCCTGTGGAATTTCATTGTATATACGTCAAATACAATGATAGAAGAATACAGGTAGATGTATCAACGCTTGGAAATATTAATATGTTAAACCTTTTTTTTCAAAAATAAGTAGATTTTTATAAGTTTTGTTACACGACAAAAATAGGAGGTTTTTATAGTTTGCATTTTTCAACAATTTTTACTAATTTGAATAATTTTTCATTCAAAAATTTCAAATTCAAAATTGGGTTGACAGTTCATTGTCCCAGCAGCTGTGTCGATGCGACTACCTTTATTCTTCTACCATGTCAAATACGTTATTTTAAAAGAGGTTCACCCAACAGAAAGATCTAGTATAGACTAGTAAAGAGAGCAATTTTGGCAGTTGAGTTTCTGAGAGTAGGAAAAAAGGAGTCTTAGGTTGACTTAGTTCGATTTTAGCCTTACGCTCATTTTTTCTTTTGCGAAGAAGCCAGCGTCGAAAATTTTTAAATGTTTTTTTTTTCAAATATTCAGGGTGAGATAAAAAAACTGCAACAAAGTCAAATGCCATAATTTTTTACATGTTTTTAATATAATATTCGGCATTTATTCTGATGCCACGGTCGATTAATACCAGCGGAGAGTGACCATACCATCACCATGGCCGGCGCTTGAGTTCTGGTGGCCAACCGAAGGTGCACATTTTCTACTGACCTCTTTGGCAAGTAAACACGATCATTTTGTTTGTTTACAAACTGCTGGACAACAAATGTTTTCTCATCGGAGAAAACCAAATTCGGCTGTTCACCACTTTCGGCCCAGCGTAGAAACTCTTTAGCACTTTTAAGTCTATTTTCTTTCGGTTGCGGTGTAAGTTCTTGCACTTTTTGGAATTTCAATGGCCTTCCTCCGAGCTAATTTTCTAATATTTTCCGAATGGAATATTGGAATCACTAGCCATTTTTCGGCCTCTGCGACGCGGGTTTCGATGAAGTCGCTTCTTTACTTTTCGAACCATTTCTGCTGATGTTGCTGTTTTCTTCCGTCCACTTCCTTGACGTCGGGCTACGCTGCCAGTATCACGGTAACGAGCGATGGTACGAGACTCAAAAGATTCATTCACATTTAAATGCTGAAGTGCTCTAACAATAGCCAATTGCGGGTTTCCAGCCAAATATAAAGAAATCACGCTTGAATTCCATCACGAATAACTATTTTTCTGGAAAAGTCTCACCAAAATGCTTTTGTACGTTTGTAAACAATATAATGAGCTGTCACTGGAATAATTTTAACAGCCATCGGACGGGTGGCTTAGAAATGACAGCAGTCTGAAGTTGGTTGCAGTTTTTTCATCTCAACTGTATTTCTAACAAATGTTTTGCAAGATGCAGTTCGTTTACTTTTTGTACAATTACAATTAAATACGAAGATATACAAAAATTTTCAAAGACAGTTCTTATAAGAGATTAAAAAAAATATACATTTTTTTTGATTTCTTTAAGTTTAGTCCACAATTATAGTTAAATTCATCAACATACAGTTTAAATAAACTCAAACTGCATTTTGTCCGAATTGAGTGCACGAGAAGTCTATCGATTGTCTTAGAGCAAATGATTGACTGTTTTACTCATTTCTCAAAATAAAACAAGTAAATTATATATTTTTATTTAAATGTTTTTTTATTTATTAAAATTATTTGTTCGAATTAATCTCAAAAGTTAACTTATTTTTATAAAGTCTGTGAAGGACAGAAATTCAGCTAATGTTGGGGTTTCAAATTTTATCTACTTCGATTCCTCCATTTCAAAACTTATAACTACATTTTTTTTAAATTTTCTGCTCTTCTTCAATTAAATTTCGCCATTAGCTCTTCCTTCTTGATGGCAATGTATTGTTTGTACAAACGCTGTTTGCAGAAATTATACAATTCAATTTCGTAGGAAAATTGTATTTTCAGTTTGGCCTCAACTTCCGGTTCCAGATTGGTGTTGTGGGGTGTGGCGTTCTTCTTGAATTTACCGCTCTTATCACCTGGAAAATTGTTTTCGATATTGGAATGCGAATGAGGATGATCACGATATTCGTTGGCTTTTACTTACTGTAATACATTTCAGTGGCTCCCCGGAAAAATCTAGGTATATAATGTTCCAATACGGTCAGGGTAATATTGGTATCTTCCCAGGAACCCACAACAGCATATTCTCTTTCGATGTTCTGTTTGGCTATTTGAGTTGCAACGGGTGAATTAAAGTTTCTGAAAATTTTGAATTTGATATTTACTTTCCGAGTGGGAAAAAAAACTAAACTGAATATAGAAACAGTGGTGTTCGTTTTTCTTAAGGGAGGAGGTCAATTCCTAAGAAAAAAATTCCTAAAAATTCAATTTAAATAAGCTTACAAGCAATCCGGATGATTTCCACATAAATGCAATGAGAAACGACGCCAATCTTGGTTATGGTCAATGTGTGGCTCAAATATGCAATCCGGTATCTTGGCCTGTTTGACACAATCATTGAAGGAGGTATCGAACCATTCTCTATTTTCCATTTTCCTGCCACTGTGTTTCAAATAATAACCAAATACCGTCGGATGACGTATGTAATAGTAGGCACTCATAACCTTCTGTATGGGATGGCGTACCATATTTACATAAATTGGTTTGGGTAGATCAAATTTTGTGAAATTTATCCAATTGATGTGTTCGACATAGGACATTGGCTGGCCCACCTCAGCAATTTCTTCGGCAATGTCACGCTGAAGTTTTTCGGGGAGTAGTACAGGATTGGGTACACCCTCCTCATTGACATAGGGTGTGTAATCATTCACCTCGGACAATTGCCTCAGAAGAGTCATCAATGACTGGGAGCCCACCTTTTCGAGGCGATTGAAAAAGACACATTCTAAGCCCGAATGGACGGTATTATTTAAAGAACTGGCATCAAGGGTGTATAACTTGGGGAAAATAAAACAAAATTGTCGGCTTAGTTTCCAAAGTGATCTCTATGGGTTTGTGGCGAATTTAAAGCTTAAAGCATATCATTGCGAGCTTAAAGCTTTTTACATCCGAGCATGTTGTTCGGCTTAGATTCCAAAAAGATCTCTATGGGTTTGTGGCTGGTGTGCGAATTTGAAGCTTAAAGCATATCATAGAGAGCTTAAAGCTTTTTACATCCGAGTATGTTTTTCGGGTTACATTCCAAAAATATCTCTTTAAGCTTGTGGCTGGCATGCGAATTTGAAGCTTAAAGCATATCATTGGGAGCTTAAAGCTTTTTACACTCGAGCATGTATAATTTAAAGCTTTGCCAAATTACATTTTCATGCAGCAGGAACTGTACAAAGATTTAGTTCAAGCAGCTTTCAAAAAAATGCCCAAGAAATTTTAGAAAAGCTTAAAGATAAGAAATTGTGTTTAGACTAAAATATCTGAAACTGTGACAAAGCTCATTGGAAATTTGTGAAGCAACCAAATATATACACATGGTAATTTAATATTGTCAGGCCTTGATCTAGGCTCAATAGTTATTGTAAAGAAAATCAGGAAAGCGTACAAGCTAAGGACGAGCCCTTTTTTTAATAAAATATTTCTTCCTTTCTCTTCCATGCCCTTACTTGCATTCCTTTTGATTGCCGCAAAAGAACATGGCAAATTGTCGCCAATCTTTGTGGACTTGGGTATCCGGCTCAAAACGACATTCAGGTATTTTGCCCGCCTTAACGCAATCATTAAAGCTGGTATCGAAATAGGCTTTCGGTTCCTTTTGGCACCACCTCTCAGCAAATAGTAACTATAGATGGCAGGATGGCGAATATAATAGTAGGCACTCATAACCCTCTGTATGGGATGCCTCACCAAATTCATATAAATCGGTTTGGGTAGATTTAATTTTTCAAAATCAATTCAATTAAGGTGCTCCACATACGACATGGCATCATCCACGCCCGTTATTTCCTCAGCAATGGCTTCCTCCTCATCGTAGGAATATAATACGCGTACAGTGGCGTTTTCTTTGTTCACATAGGGAGTGAAATTGTTGACTAGGGAGAGTTGTTTGATTAGAGTCATCATTGATTGTGAGCCAACTTTTTCCAAGCGATTGAAGATCAAAGCCTCTCTTTCGGCAATAACTGTATTATTCAGATCGATGGGTTTGAGAGTATAGAGCTTGGGTTTGGGGAGAACGAAAAAGCGTTAAATTTTATTGGCTTTATTTTCGTTTTTGATTTGTGTTTGAATGCAAAAGCAAAGCTTGAAAAGCTTTTGGCTGAGAAATACCCGTGTCCATTGGCATGGATTTACAGTTAATGGAAAAGGAAAAAAAGCTCGACAATGAAAAGGGGGTTTTCGAAATTCCAGGGCATTACTTGGAAATTGTTTTTTTTTCGAAGATGTGTAAATACACAGCTTTTTTTGAATACTTTCAAATTAAAGAAAAATTAAAAATTATTAAATATTAATTTCTTATTTTCATTTTGACTACGAACAACTATTTTTAGCCTGAATACAATTTCGGAGAGGCTTGGTCAAAAAGTTCGAAAAGCTTTTAGCTTTGTATTTCACAAAAACCAGAAAACAATTAACACTGTTCCGTTCGTTGAGCTTTTACACAAGAAAATATGTAGTAAAGTCTTAAATCCATATGCTGTCAAAAGCTTTTCCAGAAATTAGAGTCGAAATGAATTCAATTTGAATTTGAGGTACGCAGTTGAAAGCACTTAACATTTAATAACAGTTGGGCGCCATTTTGGTCATGAGAGGTCCATGGACATTGCCATGTCACTCTCGTTGGTCATAAATAAAGGGAATGCATAGAATCTGCGAGTTGCAAAAATACTCTGCTTGTAGTTTCCGTTAGGCGTCATTTGGAACATAAGAATATCCAACGAAACAGTTATGGTTCTAAGTAGTCCCATTGTAATGAAGTAAATATGTAGTAGAGCTTTGAAACACCCTCCAATGTATTTGAGGTATGCAGTTGAAAGTACTTCACATTAGGTTACCGTTGGGCGCCATTTTGGGCATTGCCATGGTACAAGTCGCTCTTGTTGTTAACAAATGAAGGGAATGCCTAGAACCTGTGAGTTGAAATATCACTTAGCATATAGTTTCCGTTGGTCGCCATTTGGAACATGAGAATTTTGAATGAATGTTATGGTACTTAGTAGCTCAATTGATAGCAAATTGGGACTAATAGTCTGAAGTACTTAACAATTAATTTACGTTGGGCGCCATTTGGAACATAAGAATATCCACCGATACAGTTATGGAACTAAGTAGTTCCATTGTTATAAAGTAAACATTATTAGTATAGTATTAGAGCTTTCAAGCAAACTCCAACGAACCATTGGGTGCCATATTGGTCAAGAGAGTGTCCATGGGCATTGCCACGGTTAAAGCGAAACACAAACTTATTTCTCTCGTTAGTTAGAAATAAAAATAATGCCTAGAACCTGCGAATTACAAAAACGCTGAGCATGTTGTTTCCGTTGGGCGCCATTTGGAACACAATAGTATCCACGGATACAGTTATGGTATTTAGTAGTTCCATTGATAACAAAATAAAGATCATTTCGGTTGGGCGCCATTTGGAACAAGAGAATATCCAGCGATACAGTTACGGAACTAAGTAGTTCCATTAAAAGATAATGTCTGAAACAATCTTTGAAATTGGGACTCGTAGTCTAAAGTACTTAACATTTAATTTCCGTTGGGCGCCATTTGGTACATGAAAATATCCACCGATACAGTTATACTATTTAGTAGTCCCATTCGTAGCAAAATAAGTTTAATGTCCGAAAAGGTATAAGAGATTGGGATTCGTAGTCTAAAGTACTTAACATTTAATTTCCGTTGGGCGCCATTTGGAACATCGCAGTATCCACTGATACTGCTTTGATATAAATGAGCCATTTATCAGTCCCATTTATAGCAAAGTAAAGATAATGTCAAGAACACCCTTTGAAGTTGGGATACGCAGTCGAAAGCACTTAGCATTCTCATTTACGTTGGGCGCCATTTCGGCCATGAGAGTGTGCACCTACTATGTCATGGTATAAATTCGCTTTCCTTTGTCACAATATTAAAAGTATTAAACTTTCTTAAAAGTTTAGGGTTTAAAGATTTACAAAAGGTTGAAAAGATTTGCTCAAAGGTGGGTAATTTTTGTCACTTGAAATATAAGCTTCTTTCCCTAAAAACCAAAAACAATTGACCTCTCTCCCTGCGGCCTTAATTTTTTGCATTCTTACTTGCACACCGGCTGATTGCCACAAAAATACATGGCAAATTGCCGCCAATCTTTATAGACCTCAGTGCCGGCATCAAATCGACATTCTGGCAGTTTGCCCGCTTTAACACAATCATTGAAACTTGTATCGAAATATTCTTTCGGCTCCAATTTTCGACCTCCGCGCAGCAAATAATAACTAAATACCGCTGGATGTCGTATATAATAATAGGCACTGATCACTTTCTCGATGGGATGACGAACCAAGTTGATGTAAATCGGTTTGGGTAAATCGAATTTCGCAAAATCAATCCAATTAATGTGTTCCACATATGACATGGCTCCCTCAACATCTGTAATTTCTTCAGCCATGGCTTCCTCCATGCCGATTGGATAGACCAGCTGAGTTGTGGCATTTTCTTTGTTGACATAGGCTGTGAAATTATTCACCCGTGATAGTTGTGTGATGAGGGCCATTAGGGATTGTGAGCCAACCTTTTGCAAGCGATTGAAGATTAATTTTTCTGTTTCCGCTTTGACGGTATTGTTTAGGAGACTCGGTCTTAGGGTGTAGAGCTTTGTAGGAAGGGAAGGAAAAGTAGTAGAAGAGAAGTGCCATTTTAGAGATCTGTCGAAAGCTTTTTCCATTTTGCCCATAAGCTGTGAATAAAAAGCTCTATTAACTGAAGATAAATAAGCTTTTGCAGGTATTAAACCAAGCTTTAAAAAGTATTAACAAGCTTTTTCAATTGGAAAATGGAAAGAGAGAAAAACCTTATTTTTTTAACACTTTAAGGTGGCGTAACATAAGAAGCTTGGCATGGTCTATTAATGCCAAATTATAAGGGAAAACGAAGGCAGGATTTGAGTCGACTCTGACATCCCTTTATGTTGTGTCGTCAAATATGCCATGCCATGATGACAAGCTGTTTCTGTACCATTAGCCTCATACTTTGACTTTAAGCTCCCTAAATAATCTTGCCAAATTTCCGGATTTTTTTCCCTTACATTCACAGCTGTTTTAGAACTAATTAATTGACCTCCTTCCCTTATTGCACAAAGGCACATCCTGTTTCTATAGTTCAGTTAATTTTCATTAAAAACAGATTTTTTTATGGATAAAGCTTCATACCTGCACACTGGTTTGTTTCCACAAAAATGCATTGCCATGCGACGCCAATCTTTATTAAATGTCATTTTCGAGTCAAAAGTACATGCAGGACGTTTCCCCTTCGCCACACAGTCATTAAATGTCGTATCGAAAAAGGGTTTTTGTGGCACCGCCTCGTCGGGCTCATCTTTAATGCGATTTATGAATACGAATGGATTGCGTTCTTCATAATAGGCGCTCATCACCTTTTGTATTGGGTGACGCACGAGACTAACATATATGGGTGTGGGTAAATCATATTCCGTCATATTTATCCAGTTTCTATGTTCCGAATATGAAAAATATCCCTCCAAATCGAAAAACTCCTCAAGAAATTCTTCTCGTTCGATTCGATCGAATGAAAAGTCCTCTTCCGGCGAATGATCATCGGTGTGGGCGACAAAATCATTTCTTTGTGCGAGATCAGCTAACATTTTCACCAATGTCGTACTGCCCGTTCGGGGAATTTGGGTAAAGAGAACAACATCACGTTCGGCCTTGTGGGTATTGTTTAAATCGGACGATTTCAGTTGTTCATACTGGAGATATGAGACAAGTATCCATTAAAAAAAAGATTTTCATTGGCCAATC